ACACACACACACACACACACACACACACACAAGAAAGACAACTGCATTATCGGCGTTGCGGCGACACTGAGCGTTACCGTTTTCCATGTTATAAAATTTCTAAAATTGCATTTATTCTTTCCTCATTTTTGAATTCATTTTCTCGGAAAAGTTGGCAAGTAAAGTGTTAATAGTTGGCTCAAAGAATAGGAATGCTGCTGTTTAGGGAGTATATGACTGTGCAGTAATCATGCTATCAATTTTAACTCAATATCAACTTACATACATCGTTCAGCTACTAAGTTAAATAAGAAAAAAATTTATACTTGAAGTTTGGTTAACTTTTAATAGTCTGTGGTAAGTTATTTGATCAAGTGAATTTTGGGAGTATTTTGAGGTTTTTGTCGACTTTTTGAAGATTTCATCTGTGGTTTCGTTAACAAATACACTTCAGCTATTACCGTAAAACAGTATTAAATGATAGATTTACGTGGTGCGGCACTGAATAATTTAACTATCCGAAAGCTAATGCGCAAATTCTCAGGCTAACTGTTAGGCGATTTGTTGTTTGAACTACCATGTTACCGTCTGCACAAGCAACAATGGCATCAATGAAACATAGTCATATGTGGATGTGGTTTCATACAACTTTAAACGATACTGTTCTGTTCAAAGGATGGCATATCACGAAAGCATCTGGTAGGAAGACTTTTAGCAGCTTTAAGAGTGGCTTTTGCACTTTTTAAAGGAACTGAATGTGAATTATTTTTTTTAAAAATACGGAACAGACTTAGTTTGTCAAGAAGAGGCTGCCAAAAAAAGCTTTATTGGCAAATTCAATTGGTTTTGATGCTAAGACTTTGAACCGAAATTTATTATACTTTTTGCGTGCAGTGGCAGCGAGAAATTTTCAAAAAATGGTAAAGTATAGTTAAAACTTTTAGAGATGATTGGAAGCTGTGTTGGAATATTTGTCTTGAGCATCATTTTTGAAGGGCTTCGGGTTCTGCGATATTACATCGAAATAAAAGCATCTAAAAAGAAACGTAATTCTGCAATGGCTTTCCAAAAGTAGTATACTCTTTTAAAAATATTTAACAATTGTAATCTTGATGTTAAGTATTTTGAAATCTGTAATTATTAGAACAATATATTCAGAATTTACTAAATTTAGTAACTGAAAAAACCTGAATTAAAAAAAAAGACAATTATATCAAGTCAAAACTGCTTTTAGAGTAACTGTGCTGTTATGTATTGTCATTGGATTTTCTATATATAATGGTTCTGAGTTTTCAGCTACAGAGATAATTTGATATCTGAACTTCATCTGCTACAAACATTTCTGTTCGCTCTCCAAACAGTCATTGGTTACGTTCTGATGCTGGTATTTATGACCTTCTCATTTTGGCTCTGTTTAGCGATAACTTTAGGAATGACATTCGGTTATTACCTATTCAGTGATCGATTCCCGGCTAGTACTAAACGATCTTCAAATGAAATTAAAACCTGTTGCGATTGAGTCTGTAATTATAATGCTTACGTCTAAGTTTTTGATAATTTCACACTTGAATGTTTGTTTTTTTCGGGAAATATAAATGGAACCAAAAAAGTTTTTGTTGTTCCACTTATGTTCAGCGTCACTTTCTAGTTTAAGGTTTATAATTTAGACAATAGCAGCCTTTTTTTTTCTTGTTATGGCTTATTTGCTGCTTGAAACTTGGGGATTTAATTTTCTGTCAATAAGTTTACATAATTGTTTTATATTACGGGGTATGCAAAAAACTTTTGCTGAAACATTTGTTGGACGAGAGTTTAACATAAAAAGAACAAACTAAAAATAAGATTATTGGGATTGGCATCGTATCTAAATAATAATTTTTGTCTTCTGCATTAAAAGTTGCTGGTAAAACGAAAAGCCATGAACTCATGTTTAGACTATTATTAGAAAAAATAAAGGTTACTTTAAATACTTTTAAAAAGTTTGTTTTTCTTTTGAATCTTCCGTTATAACTAAGCAACTTTTCTTTCGTGTTTACTGTTTCTCTGATTTTCCTTTTTAAAATCTTCGCTTTTTTCACTTAAATTTTATTCTACAATTGATAACGGATGTATATGTATATATAATAGTCAAGATAAAATTTTGCAATAAATTTTTTTGGCTTAACAGTGGTTTGTCATTTATTCAGATATAAGTGATTATATCATTTGTCTTGATACTTGCCATAATGCAATACTAACATTGATGCGTATCCATCTTGTTTAGAAATTCTTTTTTTTATATCGACTCAGACCCGACTCTTGAATGATTACTGTTTTTTTCATCTTTTTTTTTACACTTAATAAGCCGTAGTTTACTTTTATTTTTATTTTCATTTTTTTTCTATCTTTTTGAGAATTTATTTCCTCTCAAATGATGTGAAAAGTGTTCAAGTATGTTTAATAGCACTATGTTCTTCTGTAACTCTAGAAAGAACCGGATCTTTTGTTCTCAAGATAGCTGCTACAAAGATGAAATCAATGATGAAAATGTATTTTCATTTTCGAACAGAAGAATATCTGCTTTTCAAAACTTGGTTGCCAGAAACCACAACAGGTTACTGTTTCTTACGATACAAAATACAGTTATTTGCTTGAACAAATGATACTTCTGTTTCTGGTACTTTAATTAAACCACAAATTCACTTGTTTTTTTTCTTTTTTGCACTAGTTGCTTGTTTCAACTTAGGTTTAAAAGTCGATAAACAGTTGATGTTAAATGGCTGGCAATGAACTTTAGGGGAGTAAAGATACTTCCCTTTTGAAATTATCAAGGTTAAAACCTGTTAAAATAATACCACTAAATTTGTACAGTTTAGATTTTGTTGGTTCATGTATTGCCATACTTTGTATCTCTTTTATAATCGAAACTATTCAACATTCACGGTCAATCATGCGTTTCCGACGTCTCACACGCGTCAGTTTCTAGCAGTCAGATACAGTTGTTATTTCAATTTTCAGTGATCTAAATGATACCGTAACCCTGTCACTACCTGACTTTTTATAGTCGATGAATTTTGAAAAGGATTTTTGAACTTCAATAGTTGCAGAGAGAATGTAATGCCAATTGTTTTGCACATCCGGTAGATGGGATTATTCCGACTACAAATTACGAATGTACATGCGTCCCAAAAACAAAAGCAGAAAAGTTTAGCGAGGACAACAAGTAGATCCATTTGATAACTTTTCTTCTCATTTACTAGCTGCCAAGCTTTTATGTTCTTATCAATTACTGACAATCCTGTCACTGTTAACAGTCATAAGTCGTTTTTCCTGAATATCTAAACGGCTTTTAAGCACCATCTAAATGACTGATTTTTAATGCTAATTGAGTACTTCTCTTTTTCCCTCTATCTTTCTTTTTTAGGTACAATTGTGGTTATAAAGCACACCGAGTTCAAACTCTTCTATATTTCTTCCAAACTTTTGGCTCGTATTCTTTGATGCTGCTGATAATGACCTATAATATTCCCGTGATCATATGCGTTATTGTTGGACGAACAGTGGCATTTTTTTTGCTGGCCCCACTAACAGTAATGTTTGATTCAGCATACACTGAAAGCTGTTGTGGATAATTATTTGATGCGCTCCGTGTGTAATTTTGCCTCACTTGCGATAACCGGTGTTACCAACAAGGAGTATTGGACTTTTCAATAATCTACAGGCACCGCTTGATGACTTTTTCAGTCGGTATTTTATTCTCAGTTATAAAAAAAATCAACTCGCAATAAATGCTTTTTCTGTTTACCGTAGTATCCTCAAGTTACTAAACTCTTTATACGCTCACTGTTAAAGATATGGTGTTGAGCTAACCAGAATGAAGAAAACATTTGATTTCTATCTGTTGTCAATTATAGGAGGATGAAAAACGATGTTAATCTCTTTTTAGACGTTGTCAGCTTCACCTACTTTGTTTTCTTTTCTGCGCTTCTCTACTGGCATGAAACGTTTAAAACATTGAAGCAAGATCTTTTTTATTCTCGTCTACTGTTATCCTAGAGAGCAGAACAAAAATATCAAGTTAAAGAGGACAAAAAATAATCCTTCCGTATTCTTCCTCCTCTTCCATCCTCATGTCTTACCAGCTGTGATTGTTTAAATGCTCCCGTTGATAAATTGTTGACAAATGCTGTCCACCCGAATCGCACTTAACTTGTGCAATATCTTAAGATGCCAGAAATCTACAACAGTAATAAAAAGCTGCTGACTTTCTTACTTTTTTTTTTTTTTTTTGAGTAGTTGTTGTGTCCGGTTTACAGCAAAAATGACAACATATTGAGAGATTCTGTACAACAACAGTGTATGAGACTAAGCAGACCAAAAAATATAAACGAAACAAGAATCTCAAAACCAATAATAAACTGTAGAAAGCAAATAATAACCACACAGAAAAAAAAAGAAAGTAGAAGCAGATCATAATGGTTGTTCTTCATGTATTTGCTATGTATTGGATATTCATTTTCCAAATGAATATTCAGTTCATGAAACAAATACTTGGTCTTCCAGACAAGCACCAAAAAAGTAAGAAGTAAATACAGAAAAAGTTGAAAAAAAAAAACAGACTTCTATTCTATAGATCGTCATCATCACACTGAAATCACAAAAATTTTTAGCTTATGTTGCTAACCGAGAACCAACAAAAAAAAAAAATCAAAACAAAAACTTTTATTTAGCAAAAAATACGATGTTTTACATAGAATGGAATACTTGAAGAGGAAAAACTGTTGAGCTGTTGTCAACTTAAAAATTGTGAAACAAGTAGAATGCAGAAAAAACCTTCTTGTTTTTAACAGTAAAACTTACAGGTCGGGAAAGAATGCTGTCGAGAATAAAGCTTTTTTTTTTTCAGTCTTCTTTTCATTTCAAAGTTTTCATGTTTTCAAACAAAAAAAGCAAAAAGCCAAAAAAAAAAGAATCTTTTACTGAAGTATCTAAAAAAATATTTTAAATTAACACTGTTGATAAAAAAAAGTAAAAACAAAAATGGAATTTTTATTTCTTACTCAGCTGAGGAACTAAGAACAACAGGACAAGAACGAAAAAATGATAGATGAAGAAATGAAAGGAGAACGTTTTTTCCAGTTCTTCTCTTCCGACCTTTCTTATTTTCTAATAATAAATCTTCCTTTCGCAGCTTCCTTACAAACTTTCATCCATTTATTTTCCGGTTTATTAATGAAGTTGCTTCCCTCACTATTTTTTTCCTGCCAACTACAAAACGTTCAAAATGATTGGTAACTGTTGTTGGCAGCGACAGTAACCATCCATTAAAGCAGCAAAACAAAATAAAAAATCGGAAAAAAATATGCCAGATAATTTGTAAAATTTTTTTCACTGGCAAAAGTTATAAATTAAAAATGTTTGAAAGCAAAACTGTTTTTTCTTTCTTTTTTTTGCATGAACTCTACTTTTTGAATTTTTTTTTTTTTTTGCAAAAAAACCGTATCTTTGTTTTTTTTCTTTTTTTTTTTTTAATAGTAAAGAACAAAAAATACAACTCTTTAAGGCAAGACGATGCAGCAGTTTTGACACTGCTTTTAAACTGCAGAAAAAAAAAAGAATAAAAAATGATAAAAGAAAAACTAATGAGCAAATCTACTGAAAAAAAAATTTCATTCATTCCACACCAGTTGATGTTGACCGAACGATCGTCAAACGAAAGGAAAATAATCATTAAGTTGCAAAAATAGAACAAAAAAAAAAAGAGGGAAAATATAGTTGGCTTCAAATGAAGCTACTCAGTGTCATCTACCATATTTGGTCCGGCACTGTGGACTAACACTAACACTAACGTATGACTAACAAATACAGACAAAAAAAAAAAAAAAGAAGAAAGAAGGAAACAATAAAATGCTGAAAAAGTTATAATCGAGACAGTTTGATAACAATAAAAGTTAATCGTTCAAATATGTGAAAAACAAAACGGAAAAAAAACAACGCACTAAATTTAAATCAACGAATTATTTGTCTCTTCCTTAACCTTCATACAACATCCAAAACGCCGATCATCTTCCTCGGTGGTCAAATAACGTTCACAACCCAAACGAAGTTCCAAATTTCTTAGGTCTTTATAAACCTGCTCACCCTGAAGCCACTCATGAGCTAGGCATTCGTCTATTGTCAAACGTTCCTGAATCTAAAAATACTAGCAAAAGTCAGTCGCCACTATTGCCTATACCACCTATATAGACGAAGTGAGAGTTCAACAACTAAATTTATTCTTGCCGTTGATGAATACAGCATAATCTCAAATGCATTTGATATCACTGCTAAAATTTCAATATTTAAAAGTTCACCAAAGCTTGTGACTCCAAAAGCACAAATTCTTACAACATAACTAAAAAAAGCAACAGCGCAGTAAACCACCTATTATTTAGGTGTAAAAGATTGAAAAGCGATTTATTGAACCATTACCTGTACTTTAAGAAGGTGTTGAATCAAGTCAATAGCACTCTTTGAGATTTCTTTCCACGGCTCACCCGGAAACATGAATGCAGCATTCTGGATCTGTTCGGCAATTTCCTCACCGTCATTAAACGGAAATGTTCCACTTAATGTTACATAAATAATAACTCCAACAGACCACATATCCAGCGATTTATTGT